GGCCCGTGATCGGATTAGGCAGGAGGTGATCTTGACGGGGACCCGGCAGCGCGCGGTTTAGTTTTGCTCGACGCAACGAAAACCGTCGTCGTTTGAGGGCGCGGGCTTCTCAATGATTTGAGCTGAATGCCTGCCTGACGATAGAGCAGCGCGCTAGCACATGCAGCATCGCAGCCCACACCTGGGTCATCAGAAACGCCGTGAGAAACACCGCCACGCCAGCCTGGATCAAGCAGCCTGCATCCTTCGCCAGCAGCAGCCAGCAGCCAGCTGCGCGATAGCCTAGCATGCACGAGCGCCGCGATCGGTCACATGATACTTTTTCACAGCTGCTGCCTGCTGCTGCTGCTGCCGCTGCAGCTCATTGCAGGATGTTGGGATTTCAATTGCACAGCTTTAATTACACTATATATATATATATATATTATATATATAGTAGTAGAGAGAGAAGAGAGAGGAGAGATGGACTGATGAGAGAAGGAGACGAGAGAGAAGCGAGGAGAGAGAAGAGAGAGAAGAGAGAGAGACGCAGGAAGATAGATAAGATATAGATAGATAGATAGATATATAAGATAGAAGATAAATAGATAGATGAGTAGATAGATAGATAGATAGATAGATAGATAGATAGAGAGATAGATTAGATTAGATAGATAGGATAAATAGTAAGATAGATAGATAGATGAGATATAGATAGATAGATTGTTTAGATAGATAGATAGATAGATAGACTAGATAGATGGATAGGATAGATAGATAGATAGATTAGATAGATAGATAGATAGATACCATAGATAGATAGATAGATAGATAGATAGATAGATGAGATAGATAGACTAGATAGATAGATAGATAGATAGATAAATGCTAAATATAGATATGTTGAGTTAAACAAGCTGTATTCTCTGTTCGAGTTACGCTTGAGGATATGGCTAAACTTGTGCAAGCAACGCCTGCAAGCAGAAACGTTAAACTTCGTGTTCTATTATCGAGTCTTTTATAATATAGCACTCACATACGTTCAGTGGTTACATAGATAAGCGATGAGTTTTATTAGGTGCATGAATACGCGCCTAGGCGGCTTCTTGCGTGCGTGATATATCATGAGTGGCACCTACCGTAAGTTCAAGCACGAACACGCGTGACGCTACCGGACTTATGTAACGGTTAGCGGTCAGTGCACACACACACACACACGCACACGCACACACACACACACACGCACGCACGCACACACACGCACGCACGCACGCACGCACGCGCACGCACGCACGCACGCCACGCACACACACACCACCACACGCACGCACGCCCACGCCACGCGCGCGCACACACGCACGCACGCACGCACACACACACACACACACACACACACACACACACACGACACACACACACACGACAAACAAACCAGACGGGCGCGCGTACAAAGAACATTGATTCGTCACGGGTAGTGTAATCAACTCTTTTTCTCCAACATGAATCGATTCGTTGATATTTTTTTTCAAAAAACTCGATCTTTCATCGCTTCGTCATCCGTCCGCGTAATTAAAAACAACTATAGCGAAATTTTAACGCGCGCAGTCGCCCACATAATTAAAAACACTCAATAGAACGTTTAACCTAATTAAACTTAGCGCTGCCAGCATCATAATCATACACAATTTTTCAAAAAAACAAGAGAGCGTTAAACCGTATAAAAGATAAGCCGCACTACCGTCAGCGATTCGCTTACAATTTAAAACAAGCGAACGTTAAAGCCGAATTAAGTTGCGCGCGCAGCCGTCCCGCATAACAGCGTCTGTCGTGAATGCCAGGCTGTCGCACGTATGCGAATTGCCTGCCAAGTTTATTTTCCGCACGCGCACGGCCTAAAGGTTTCGTATGCTTACCAATGCATGAAGTGCATGCTGCGACTTGCCAGGAAGTAGCGCACCAAGCTGTCCCGGCTTGCTCTGTTTCGCGCCTGCTGAAAGAACCGAAGCGACGATGAACAAATTCTTGCATTCATCGGCCGCTGTTCCTCACGAGAGATGGCTTGGTTTTTGACGGTATAGGAAGGCACGTGCGAGCGCGGGTTGGCGCGTTTGCATTACTGACCGCACTAGCAACCGCCGTGCGGTTGGTCCATCCACTCGGAGTCATCATGATCGCATTATAAGCGATATTACATAGAAGCATAACACCTAGAATATGATTTATCAGGGGTAGCATACCATATATATATATTATATATAATATATATATATATAATATATATATATCCCAGGAGGCGGCTGATAGGGAACCTAGTGGTGGCTGTGATGTGGGTGAGGCGGGCTGTGCGGTCGTGTCTATATGTGGGCTTGTGCGTGCATTGTGTGTGTGTGTGTGTTGTGTGTGTGTGTGCTGTGTGTGTGTGTGATGATGTGTGTGTGTGTGTTGTGGGCTGTGTGTGTGTGTGTATGTGTGTGTGTGTGTGCTGTGTGGTGATGTATGTGTGTGTGTGTTGTGTGCGGTGTGTGATGGGTGTGTACTCTTGTGTGGATTGTTGTGCTGGTGTTGTTGTGTGTGGTGTGTTATGCGTGTGTGTCGTTTTGTGTGCGTGTGTGTTTGTATGTTGTGTGCTGTGTGTGTGTGTGCCTGTGTGTTGTGTGTGTGTTGTGTGTGTGTGTGTGTATGTGTGTGCGGTGTGGTGTTGTGTGTATGGTGGGTGGCTTGTTGTGTGTGCGTGGTGTTATGTGTGTGTGTGGTGTGTCGTGTTGTGCGTGTGCGTGTCGTGTGTGGGTGTGCTGTGTGGGGGGTGTATGGTGTAGTGGGTGTGTGTCGTGTTGTGTGTTGTGTGTGTGGTGTGGTGTGTGTTTGCGCGGTTGTGTGTGTGCTGTTGTGTGTGGTGTGTGCTGTGTGTGCGTGTGCGTGTGCCAGACACACCACACACATGCTCACTTTGTTGCTGTATTGTCTTATTGCTTGCTGTGAAGAAGCGACTTATATAACGAAAGGACCGTTGTTGCAAGTACTCTGCTCACTACAAACTTACTTATTAGCATAGTCACATCCATGGCAAATACCATTCCGATAGTCTGTGCTATAAACAGATTTTTCTCCTTTTAATATTTTTTTCTGTAATCGTTGCAGGGACTCCCCTCGACGTATGCGGTGTGCGTATGTAATTTCTGCATTAACCACGAGCAGACCGATGCGCCCCTGGCGGCTCGAACCGCGAGATTGGACGCATTGTCCCAATGGAGGCGTTGTGCGGTCACGGCAGAGCTTTACTCAAACGTTCCCCCCCCCTCCCTCCTACCTCACGCATTCTCCATCACAAACCTCGCTACTGTTCATTTGCTAAGTTCAAGAACTCATTCCTTTCAATACATCGCCGATTTTGTATCTGATTACGCATAAATAGATCTCGGGCGTGACATTCAGAGCGGCTGATATCGCCGTGCGTAGTATCGTATCGTATCGGTATCGGCTTGGCGTGGTTGCGCCACTACGGCGTGCGGCGGGCGGTGCTGTTGCGATTCGCGGTCTTGCTAGCTACAATGCGGCGGCGGCGGCGGCCGGCCGCGTAAGGTCTCGGCAAAATTACAATGATAGCGAAGACAAAGCCCTCAATAGGTGCATGCTGTTACGATCGCAATTGCTCGCCCCGCCCGAGCTAGACTGGCGGTGCACCGCCGCGGCTGATAACCGCGCGGGACGTTATGCGCGACGACCGGGTACCGTTTACGTTGGTCGTTCGTGAACGTGACCGGGCCCATTATGTCGAGTTATTTGCCTTCGCCAACATTTCGCCTTGTCATCGGTGGAAGAGTACGGCCCCCTTGTTCGCGACTAGCCAGCCGTGCAAGGCCAGACGCAGGTAAACCGGCAACGATCAGCAGCGGCAGCCGGGCAGCGCAGACGGGACTATGAGACAGCGCACATTTCCTGCTATACGTTGATGCGAGTCTTCCCGCGCTGTACCCGTGTACCTATCTTACACCTCTAACCTCATAATCTACAACCTGTAGCCTGTCTTACACTTGTACTTGGCTTAAACCTGTACCTATATCTTACACCTGTTATACCTATATCTTACACCTGTACCTATATCTTACACCTGTACCTATCTTACACCTGTACCTATCTTACACCTGTACCTATATCTTACACCTGTACCTATACTTACACCTGCTACCTATATTACACCTGCTACCTATATCTGTAGAACCTGTACCTTTATATCTTACACCTGTACCTAATATATTAACCTGCTACCTATATCTTACACTTCCTATATCTTACACCGTGATACCTAATATCTTACACCTGTACCTATATCTTACACCTGTACCTATATCTTAACTGTACCTATATCTTACACCTTGTATTGATAGTCTTAAACCCTGCTATCTATATCTTACCACCTGTTACTGTCTTACACCTGTACCTATATCTTACACCGTTTACCTATCTTTAACCTGTACCTATATCTTACACTCTGATACCTGTTTACACCTGGTACCTGTTTTCTACACCTGTCCTATATCTTTAACCTGTACCTATCTTAACCTGTACCACCGCTCCCCTTACACCTGTCACCGGCTCCTTTCTCCAAGGGCATTACCTGCCGCCGACAAAACAATATTGTGCTCTGCGGAGAGGAAGGGCGAGAGACAGCAGAGAGAGAGCGGAGAGAGAGAGAGAGCAGAGAGAGAGAGAGAGACGCGAGAGGGAGAGAGAGAGGGCGCGAGAGAGTGAAGAGAGACTACAGACAGAAAGAGAGAGAGGAGAGAGGAGAGAAAGAGGGAGGAGAGGGAGGAGAGGAAAGAGAGAGGAGAGAGAGAAAGACGAAAGAGAGAATGAGAGAGAGAGAGAGAGGGAGAGAGAGAGAGAGTATGATACGAGACAGACAGAGAGAGGGGGGGGAAGAACGGCCGGCAGCAGCCGTTAATTTCCTGGTTGCTGCGAATACGATCTGTAATTAGCAGAGATCCGTGAACACGCATGAACATTGATTCACACCCGGTGATTGGCGACTTGACTTTTACAAGATGTTTAGTTGGATCAAGAACTGACTGCATGAGTGACTAGCGAATTACATACAATATAACATAAATATATATACAGGTTATATAGTACATATTATATATATACATATAATATACCAAATATAATATACAAGCGCACATCTGTATTTGGGACCGCTTCTGTTTAGTGGGCCCCACCCGCATTTTGGCAATCGACCACCGTTTATTCTCTGCTCCCATCCATTCCACCATTACGCAAATAGCTGGCTGGTGGATTGGTTGGCTGGCTGGCTGGCATGGCATTGCGAGCTTGGGACTGCTTGTTGGCTGACTAGCTGGCTTAGCACCCAATCACGCTAGGCATATGCAGGCGGGAACAATCTTCGATCTAAATTCTTCGCTGAGGCAGACGGCCATGATTATCACTACACTAACAATAAACAATGGGTGGGAAACCAGCTTCAATTTAGTGCATCGAAAGAAACGGAAGGAGAAAAATGCCGAAAGAGTTATATTAGTAATCCGCGCTTAAGTTTACAATGCATCCTATGGCCTGCCACAGTAATTTTGCCAATAGCCTCGTTGTTTACCGCGAGCAGTGTTCGTTCGTCTTATACTCGTTAGCTGCGTCTGCGCGCCACGCGAAGATTTCGAATTAAGGCAGTTGTTGTGTCGAGCGGTTTTGTTACATCGAATGCACGCGCATTAGGGAGGTATAAAGAAGAGTATAGTAAGGCATTAAGGTAAATAATGTAAAACAGAAACACTAATTGATTTTCTAGTACATTTGTATGGTTGTGTGACAAATAAATCAGCACATATATACTATTGCTCGGTGGTCTAGAAATTCGGATAGCGTTGTTGACATCAGGCTTTAACATGACGTCAAAAACTTTAGTATGTTTTTTCGATGATAGACCAGGATACGATCTGCGGGGTATAAAAGTCTTATCTCGGCCGCCATACTTAACGCGCCCGTAGGCATCAAGTTTTTCCAAAGCTAGATATCGGATCTACGCTTGCTGCATAGATCAAGCGATTCAATGTTACATCTTGAATCGGGCCACGCCATTCCGGCGTATTATCTGACAATCATATGCCGCCATTTATTGCATCCGCGTATCAAGAGCAGATAAGAACGCCTTCTTTATCTGCTCTTGATCGGATGTATTCGCGCCTCACGGCACTGCCTCTTCTTCCCCTTCTCTTTCTCCTTCTCCTCTACCTCCTTCCCTCCTCCTCCTGCTCCTGCCTTCCTTCTCCGCTACCTCCTGTTCCTGCTACCTCGCTCCTCCTCCTCCTTCTCCTTTCTCTACCTCCTCCTTCCTGCCCTCGCTTCTCCTCCTCCTGCTCCTCCTCCTCCTCCTCGTCTGCCTCCTACTCGGATATGTATCACAGCAACGGATGACCTGCGTTGCATATAGCAGGCCCGCCATTACAATAGCCGGACAATGGACAATAGTTTCAAACCCACGGTTCGCTGTATCGTGCGATCTCTCGGCCGACTATCAACGCAATTTCGAACAATCACCTATAGTACCGGCCGACAGACAGGTGCGTGATCGCTATGCGCATGCGCAGAGCGCGGCGACGCGCCCATGAACATATACGTGACCGCAATCTATACATCACGATCTCCACAGACGCCATGCAACAACATTCGAAACGAGACACCGTAACATGGCGTTATTTTTGCCTTTGTCATGAAAATGACTTTCGTGTTCGCCCGCGTGACTGCAGCACGTATGCGATAACATGCCCTTACATGCCGATGCCCAGTGCCTGTGTTAGTACAAGGAGCGAGGGTGGAGGGGATGGAGTGGGGGAGATAGATAGAGGCAGCGTTCATTGTCGACGCTATGGCGCTGTTTTTACAGACGACGTGAGTGTTATGACGGTAGGTTTTCGACAGACTGTCGCTGATGATGTGACGAGGGCAAAGCCGATGTCGTCGTAACCACGCCGACGAATCAGGATGCTTCAGCATACTGACTCGTTCGTGCATTCGCACGCACACGTGATCGCACGTGCGCGCCGAAACGCACACGCCAGACATATGTAAGCGCACGCACAGGCCAGACACATGTAAGCGCACGCACACCCCAGACACATGTAAGCGCACGCACAGGCAAACACCCACGAACACTCGCAGGCGCTCTAAGCGTGTACTTATACAAGTGGATGCGCGCGCGCACGAGCGCACGCACACACACACGCACGCACACACGCACACACGCACGCCCGCACCCACGCACGCACGCACGCACGTGCACACACGCACACACGCACGCTCACACACACACAAATAACCAATGCGCACGTACAAAGAACATTGATTCGTCACGGTGGTGTATCAAACTCTTTTTCTCCAACAATAATCGATCGTTGATATTTTTTTCAAAAAACTCGATCTTTCATCGTTCGTCATCCGCCATAATTAAAAAACAATATAGCGAAAATTTTAACGCGCGCAGTCGCCCACATAATTAAAAAAACCAATAGAACGTTTAACTTAATAAACTTGCGCGCGCAGCCATCCGATATCATACACAATTTTTCAAAAAAACAAGAGAGCGTTAAACCGTATAAAGTTAAGCGCACTACCGTCAGCGATTCGCTATACAATTTAAAAACAAGCGAACGTTGAACCGAATTAAGTTGCGCGCGCAGCCGTCCACTACAGCGTCTGTGTGAATGGCAGGCTTCGCACGTATGCGATCGCTGCCGAAGTTTTTTTTCCCGCGCGCGCGCTAAAGGTTCGTCTGCTTACCAAGGTGAAGTGCATGCTGCGACTTGCCAGGAAGTAGCCGCCCAAGCTGTCCCGCTTGCTCTTTTTCGCCGCCTGTGAAAAGAAAGCCGAAAGCGACATGAACAAATCTTGCATTCATCGGCCGCTGTTCTCACGAGAGTTGGCTTGATTGACGGTATAGGAAGGACGTGGAGCGCGGGGGAGTTCTGCATACTATTACACTAGCAACCGCGTGCTTTGGTCCTCTCTCGGAGTCATCATGATCGCATGTATAGCGATGATTTCATAGAAACATAACACGCTAAAGTATGATTATATCAGGGGTAGCATAACATATATATATATATATATATATATATATACCCAGGAGAGGCTGATATAGGAACCTAGTGTGTGTGTGAGTGGGTGAGAGCGGCTGTGCGTGTCTGTGTCTATATGTGGGCGTGTGCGTGCATTGTGTGTGTGTGTGTGTGTGTGTGTGTGTGTGTGTGTGTGTGTGTGTGTGTGTGTGTGT